CTCAATAAAAAGCAGCTTAGCCTTTAAGGAATAAAGAAGAAAGATGATAATAAAGAATTGATTGATGAATTAGTAAAAGAACTTGCAAAACTGAGCTAAAAGGGAAAGGAATAGCTACTGATCAAGGAGCCATGGTGCTTCGGGATAAATCTTTATTTAATAATGAAATTCAGTAAATAGAACAGGCTTTTAAAGAAAAAAGCCTTGAAGTAAATAGAATAGACTATAGAAGAAAAGTAAGACCAACTTCTCTAACCAGAATATATTAGACCAACTTCTCTAACCAGAATGTATTATCCTAGGCCTACTCTTGTAGATCTCCAGTTGGAAGAAGATTTGATTACTAGCTCGGTATCCTACTCAGGGAGATCCTTTGTAAATTGGAATATTGATGGAATGTCAGAAAACCAAATACTTAATCTAATGAAGCATGTGACTATGTACGCTACTGCATATAAAATAAGAGGAAATCATGACCAAGAGATAGCCAAAGCCATTATCTGTGGATTTACAGGATGACTAAGGGGATGGTGGGATTTCTAAATGGAAGAAAATACAAAAAATGAAATACTAACTGCTACGAAGCAGTGGGCAGTTAAAAATGAATATGGCTAAAATGTAGTAAACAATGAAAGTGATGCAGTTAATACTCTAATATATAGAATTACTCTCCATTTTGTGGGAAGTACTGCATTACTAGATGCAAGATCAGAAGACCTACTTTATAATCTTAGATGCCCAACACTATCCCTTTACAAGTGATATAAAGATGTATTTTTCTCTAGATTCCTTTCCAGAGAAAAGAGTAAATCAGATCATTGGAAGGAGAAATTTATGGCCGGGTTGCCCTCATCTTTTTGCCGAGAAGGTCAAAACTCGATTGAAAAATAAACATGGAGGATTAATACCCTAATTTTTATATTCACTAGGAGAACTCTTGGTTGAAATTTGTGTAGAAGGCCTTGCTATCTGTACAGATCTAAAGCTGAAAAGGCAGCTAGAGAAACAAAGAATGACTGGAAGAAAAGAATTAAGAGATTTTTGTAAACAGTTTGGATTTAACACCCCGCCTTCTTCAAAAGACTCTGATAAAAGAAAAAATAAAAGTAGAAAATATAGCAATAAACCAGGATCCAATAAAACATCTGTCAAAGACAAGTTTTCTAAGAAATTTTCTCCAAAAAATAATAATTTTAAAAGAACTAGGGGAAAAAGAAGGATACATGTCTATTATAATTGCGGAAAAGTAGGCCATTATAAGAATAAATGCAGAATGAAGAAAAAATAGATGCCCTACAATTAGATGATAATATTAGAGATCAACTGTTTAAAATATTACAAATAAGTAGGGAGTCTTTTGATAGTTCTTCTAGTTCTGAACTAGAAATGTTGATGGGAGAAATTATATATGTATATATATATATAAGTTGTTAGGGTGAGCCCACTAGCTCACAAAATAGTATAAGCCCAAAGGCCCAGATTGAATTTGGGTCGATTTGACAGTCGATAGTATTTTAATTTTAATTTTTTTTCTACAATTCAAATCACTTGAAATGTTAGGTGAATATTCTTCTCATCAATCTGCACCTAATAAAAATATAAAAAAAATAATCTGTAAAATTAAAAATGTCCAAAATACCTCTAAAAATTTACGGGGATATTTTTGTTATTTTTTTTATGTAAAATATTTTTTCAATGATTTTCAAATATTCACCTATTTTTTTATCAATACAAGTATAAAATTTCAAGTGATTTGAATTTGTAGAAAAAAAATTAAAATTCAAACACTTTCGAGTATCCGTGATCGTTAGATCGGCCTAGATTCAATCTGGGCCATTAAGCTCATTTTTTCTTGTGAGCCTATTGGCTCACAAAAACCTTTTCATATATATATATATATATATATGAAGATGCTAGGGTGGGCCCACTAGCTCACATAATAGTATAAGCCTAATGGCTCAAATTGAATCTGGGTCGATCTAATGACCGAGAGTGTTAAAATTTTAATTTTTTTTTCTACGAATCCAAATTGTTTGAAATTTTAGGTGAATATTATTCTCATTAAGCCGCACCTAATAAAAAAAAAAAA